AAATTTTATCATTAAAGCATAAATGAACATTAAAGTTTACTAACTTGTGTAGCTGGAACAGCGTGAACGACACAAGCTAATTTGTAAAGATCAGGTTTATCATACTTTTGTTCTTCCCAATAGCTCAATATATTGGTTTTGTAATGGAGTCGTTCAACTCTTTTGAAATCGTGTAAAGCAATTGATATGTCGTTAGGAGAACTTGTTTCGCTGTTCAAGGATGAATAAGATGATTGAGACGACAAGAATAGTTCGAAATCATCATCTCCATCAATACAAGAATGATTATCTTTATTTGTATCTAAATCAACTAAAAAAAAAAAAAAATTAACTGTTTTATCAAAATTAGGAGCAAGGTTATCTAGAAAAGTATTAATAAGCTTGTTGCTTTAAATTATTTTTATGTTTTACCTAAAGATGAGTTATGAAGAGTATTATCCTCTTGGTCAATTTCATCTTCATTTAAATGAAGCAAAGCCTTCCAAGTCTTTGTTAAATGATCAATAGCATTAATTTGTTCATCTTCAGTAAGCATGCATTGATATCTCGGATCGAGAAAAATAGCTGAAAATTAAGTTTGTTATGATGATAATCAATATAATCAAATTAGTTGAAATTAAAATAAAACTTTATTTGTCAATTTGTAACTTAAATAACCGATAATTTATAGATTTATAAATTTATACACTTTATTTGAAGGAGTAAAACATAATAGCTATTGCCTAATTAAAATAACTTAATTACCAGAGTTATAGTTGAGACACAAGTAATTTTTGTACATTGACAAATTATTCTTTAATGATTTTATGATTTTATTTTCTAATTGACTTGTAAATTGTACAAGTTAAAAAAATATAAAAGTAACATTTAACTTAACTTTCATTTTAAGATATTAACTTAACTTACAAGTTAAAAAAATAGTTAACTTGCTTAGCCTTGGAAATGTTAATTGACCTATTGGCTACTACCTTATCATACTTAAAATTAAAAATATTATCTAGGGCACCTAGTAGGTTTATATTCAATATTTTAATTTTGAAGTAAGATATGAACATTTTAAAATGTGGAATTTCTTAAGAAAATACCTGATAAATAAACATTGTTTTTTAGTAACAGCTCTTGACGTTCTTTCATAGACTTTAATATTTGTTTCGCCAGTATGGTACCATTAGATCTCAATCCATTAGTGCATTTCCACCATATACTATACAAATCTCCTAGAGTTATATCTTGTTTTTGTAAGGCTAATGTTGCTATTTTAACTGGCAATAAAGCATCAACCTTAAATATAATAAATTTTAAATATGTGTTAATTAAATTAAATATAATTGTATCTATTTTATTTGGTGTTTATTTTTGTTCATCTATGAAAGCAAAACATGTCAAAATATTTTTTTTTTTTAAATTAATAGAAAATGCAAAAAGCAAATTATAAAAAATAATATTCAGTATTCAAATATTTTTTTTATTCTTTTGTTCCCTTATTTTTATTTTTTTGACAATATTGGATGATACTTGATAGTAAAAGTAAAAATAAACAGTTATTACAAACCCAATATGCTATTATTAAACATACAAATTAAATATTGAACTTACAATACTTTGAACAGATATCCACTCATTATCTGTAAGTTTTAAGTCTGGATTGGTTTCATCATGTTCCTTACAAAATACTTTTAAATCAATTAATCTGTATAACATATTGTATATTGAATTCCATCTAGTTTCGTTATCGATAATGGCTAGTTTTAAATTCATTCTTATCAACCAACTTGAATATGTAGGTGTTCTGAGTTTTTTCACTACCTATTTTGTAATAACATAAATAGAACATTGATTTATATTTATGTGCTGAAATATACTATTTTATTAAATAATTTTATCAACATTATTATCACCTACCTGTCTAGCACGAGATATGGAATTTGTAATAGAAGCAACTTTTAATCCATCATGAATACACAGTTGTAAAGTATGTACAGAACATCTCACACATGACGTTATTGCTACAGGAGTTATGGCATTAAGAACATTGTCTTCCAAATCATTTATGTCTGTATCACCTTCTTCAGCCTCATCTATAAAATATTTATATCAATTTATCAAGTTATAAAACAATTATATTAACATATTTATTATACAGCATGTTAATCAGATATATGATTAATTTATTAATGGATTTATAAATTTTTCCAAGAAAATTACATACCACTGAAATTGAAAAGTTCATTTTCAATGTCATCAGTCGCAAGCGGTGTTCCTTCATTGTCATACTGCCATAAATCATCATCATTATCATCATGTTCACTGCTATTGACATTTTCACTTGGCATTACATTATAATCTTGAACCTGATCTGTTTCATCATTCATAATCCTAGCCAACTTAATCATGTTTGTAGCATTATCACAAGTAATAGAGTATAATTGTTCCTTTTTAATATTGTACTTTTTGAGTGTTTCAAGGAGCTAGAAAGTAGAGAATAATATAACAATCATCAGGTATTAAAATGCATTAACAAAATATATTTTAACAAGAAATGTATTTATGATTTTTTGTATTATATTTTGTAACAGCTAATAAGTAATAAGTATTAAATAGATATACCATCTTTTTTAAATTTACTGCTGTATGCTTTTCGTGCATTTCAACCATGGCCAGTGTTGACAAACATATTTTTCCATCTTTCGAGTATTGAATATTTACCCCTAATATGGAACGATGATGACGCTTCACACAATCAACTTTTAGGCTGATTAGCCAATTTTTTACATCAGTTTTTATCTGTGAAACTATCTCATTTGAAGCAGACAATATGTGACTTTTTATGTTGTGAGAATTTATGGTAAAGTCTGAAATGTTTATTAAAAATTATTTTAAAACTTTTGATCAGGTACCTATAGGTACCCAATTTAATTTAAAATTGGTTTCATACTTGCGCCGATAGCTTCAGTCAGAGGCCTTAATATTTTCTGAAAACCAGAATCATTGAAGATTGTAAATGGTCGGCCATTTACTGTCACAATCTCAGTACAAGCTTTTAATAAACATTCTTGATCCATTTTCACAAATAGATTTTTCTTAGTTACACTTATGACCTTGTCCAATGGTCCATGTTTCTACAATAAAATTTGTATTTAAGAACTAATTTTAATAAAATGTATCTAACATTGTACAAAACTACAAACAGGTTTCTACTTTCACATTTAGAATTGTTTATAAATTTATTATAGGTAGGTAGGTAGGTACTTATCATGTATTTGAAAAATGGTCTTATGGTTGGTATGCAAGTTGTTTAATATTTAGTTACTGAATAAGCAAATATAGGTATTTCAGTATTTTGGAATATGGTAAAAAATAAATTTTAATCGTTTCCAAAATTTGTGTTAAAATTATTTTAATATTAGCTAGGTAATGGGTACCTAACCTAATGTGTATTTGAAACAATTACAAAATATGAAAATAGAATTACCTAATAGAAATAGTCAAATACAAAATTGAGTTGGTTTTACCTTTGATGGAAATGTCGCAGTGTCATCCAGTCGACGTTTTTCTTTTATACTTTCAATTTTATTATTCTCAATATCTTGTTTGGCTTTTACTAAAATTTCCCATTCTTGAGTATGAGTTGTTTTTATGTGCGTTTCTAGGTTGTGACTATGCTGACCTTTCATAACAGGTCGACTACATCCTTTGATATTGCACGTCGATTCATTTTTTTCAATATTGTAAGTGAAAAATAATTTGGTAACCGGATTTGTAGGCTTTCTTCCCATTACAGAAAACGGTAGAATATGATATTATAATAATTAGGGCTCGGATTTATATGTAAATACATATTTTTACTGTGACTTGATAAATTAATTTAGGTAAGTGATAAATTTGTTTCAAGGGATTTCCAATAAAATGAACTATATTTTATTTTACATATTTTTACATATTTTGCCATAAGTACATGTTTTTACATATTTCTCAATAATTCCATTTTTCCTACATATTTCGACAATTTGTTAATTTACGATTTATTATTTATTAATACAGACTTGCCCATGTTTAAAAAGTACAAAATAATACTGTAGAACTTTCTCCTTCAGACATAGTCAACATGCAATATTGTCCTATAACATCAGTCGAAGTTGAGAGATATTTCAGTCGATATAAATCAATTTTACGACATAATCGGCGATCTTTCGAATTCGAAAATTTAAAAATGCATGTCATTATTAATTGTAACCATAATAATTAGATAGTTAGATAAATATTTTTTTTGATAATACATATAAATTTTTTAGCACATATTTATGTACATAATTTTGTTTTTTGATAATACATATTATACATTTTTTAGCACATATTTATGTACATATTTTTGTTGCATAAATACATACTTTGGTTAAATAAATACATATAAATCCGAGCCCTAATAATAATTATACCAGATTGATATATTTTTAAAAGTTGAAACACTTGAAACTATGCAATCTTAATTACCGAATGGCGAATACCGGAATACGTAACGGTCGGAGATATAATGAGTAACGACTGGTCACTGGTGAAATCAGAAATAGGGACTAAAATGTTTATAATAATATTATTATATATTATAAACACCGCAATCGAAAATTCCCGATATTAATGCCGGGTTGCATGAAACAGTTCCGTAAATTGTTGAACCGATAATATATTGATAGTAAAATAATGGAAGTTAAAGAACAGATTGCGTTTCATGAAAGTTTTATAAATTGTATCAAATAATCAGTTTATAACCAGTTATCTGGTATTCAGTAGTACATAAATATTATTCTTATCTAAGATAATAATTTTTTTTTGAAGAGATAAGAATGTTGTGGTTATTTAATAATTAATTGACAGTTGTTAAATATTTTTATTTTCCGTGTTGTAAATGTTGTAATGTGTTTGTTAAAACTATATGGCTTTTATTTAATTTAATAATTAAATAATTAAATATTTAAATAATTTCCGGGTTGAATGAAACAGTTATGGAAGACGACAAAAAAAGGGGCAAGAATTTTACCGAAACAGAAAAATCAATTTTAATCGATCTTATTTTGCCATACAAACATATTATTGAAAATATCAAGGTAAGAATAACATGCTTTATTATTATTTACTGTTTATTGATTCTATTTTCTACAACAATTTTATGAATGAATACAGTTTCAAAAGTCAAATTTGCATGTTTCTGGTGTTCAGAATATGTTAGTAATACAATATTAAAATGTATAGACTGATGGTGCAACAAATAAAGAAAAAGATTTGGCATGGGGTGAAATTGCAAATACATACAATTGCCAACAAATTACTGGTATCAGAACCATTCGTCAATTGAAATCTGTATATGATGTTCAAAAAAGAAAGGCTCGAAAAGACAAAAGTGATTATAAGGTACCTATAATCATTTCAATTTATTTATTGTTTTTGAAATATTTAAATTAAAATATTGAACATTTTAGGTTGAACTTTACAAAACTGGTGGTGGTCGTAATTTATCAATGCTGTCAAGTACAACAGACAAAGTCATTGGAATCTTAGGTGATCGTTTAGAACCTTTATCTAACCAATATGATTGTGATTCTGACTATCCAAGTATGTATAATGAATTTTATCATAGTTATTTATTCTAAACTGTAGATGTTGGTACCTATATTTTATTATTATCTTATAACTTTTAGATGTTAATAACCCACCTGATGAATTCATTATTCAAACATTAAATGAAGATGATTTATCAGATGACTTATTTAACAACTCTGATGAAAACCCCTATTTAATTGAGAAACCAGTTACAAAAAAAAGATCTCCAGAAATACTTTTAGCACCAAGCAACAAATTGGTAAAAATATTGGACAAACAATCTGTTGCTCATAACGTCGCCACTAGTCATCCTGCAACTGTGGAACAAAATATAAACAAAAAGCATGAGTCTTCTGCAAAAAAAGGTTTATGAAGGACTAAACCTTTTGACTTCCAAACATTTGGATATAGTTGAAAGTAAAGAAAAGCTAAAAGACAATTTGAATTTGTTAGCAATAAAAAAATCAAAACTGCAGTTAGAAATTACAGAAATGGAACAAAAGATCATGGTCCTAAGATATGATACTGAACAACAAAAGTGTGATTCAGAACTCAAGCAAAACAAATTAAAAGAACTAATTCTTGAGTCTGAACTAAGACAGAATAAAATGAAAGAAACTATTCTTTCAAAACAATTAATAATTAATTTGTAAGTCATTCATATATGTGTGTTTGTTATTTTATTATAATATGTATAGTAAAAGTTTATTTTTATCTAAATTTGATAATACAGAAAGTTACCTTAAAATTAAAAATAACCTTTTGTTAAGCTATAAAATAAGTAAAAAAAATTAGGATATATTGTAAGAACAATAAGTTTCATTTTGTTGATTAATTTAAAGTTTTTATTAATTATTTTGTTTAAAGTTTACTAATTTTATTGAACAGGATGTTATAATTATTATTTATTTTTATTAATGTATCTAGATTTACTTAATTTTATTTTGTTATATAGGTATTCAGTTAATTTTTATATTGTTTGTTACAGAAAGTTATCTTAAAAATGAATAATAGACAATTAAACCAAAAAATGTTTTAAAAATTAAAAAATTAAAATATTTTACAAATTAATGATTATGTCAAGAAAACACAGTATTTATTAAATGTGATCTTTCAGCATTTCCTAACTGTCGAATAGGCAAGGTTGGTATCTCTTGAAGTAATTCAATATCAATTAAATGATTATCAATTTCTTGAGGTATCTCATCTTTTTCTTTTAGAAGAAAATTATACAGAACTGCTGTAGCAACGATAGTAGCCATAGTAGTACTTAGTTTTGTGCGAATTCCAACTGCTAGAACAGGAAATCTTCTCTTTAAAACCCCAAACAATCTTTCCACTACATTCCTTGAACCAATTTGAGCTTTCTATCAAAACAAATAATAGTTTTAAAAAAAAAGCAGTGCCGTTAGCCAGGTAGGTATACCTATAGACTATAGTTGTAAGTTATAAATTAAAACAGTTTTAGGTAAAGGTAAATCAAACTTAACCCCACCACACACAAAAGAGGAGGTATACATTTCGAATGAGTTGTTTTTTTTACTGTAGGTTGGATAAAAAAAGGCAATAGGTTCGACGAAAACAACGGCCGGTGAATATCGAAAATATTTTGCAGACATATTTATTAATACAACAGCTACATACAGCTACTAATATACATTAGCTTATGTAGCCTATCAACATTATTCATATTTATAAATACCACGAACGGCACGAACAAACAAGACGTAACAAGTACAACCAACTACCAAAGTACCAAGTCACCAAGACTGAGACTAGGTACAGTGTACATAGTACACAGTAGCCACAGTCTACACTCTGTACTTTTAAGTTCAGTGTTTTGCCGCCTAAATTAATTATTATATTCTATTATATAAAATTGTTATGCCACAAACGATGCGTTATCTGACATTTGTAATTTGTATTTCCCATCCCAATAAAAACATGTACACTAAAATTAAAAGTTGTCATTTTTATTACTTTGGTGTTTTCCGTTCGGGTCGTAGCCACCTAGTATACACTATAAACACTTAAATAAATAAATTATAACAATCAATATTGCATTTGACAGAAAATCAGAAACACTGAAGAACAAGCGTAAGAAATCCAACAGACAATACCGTGTATACTTACTGTATTCGTTTGTCCGTGTGTACAATGTTTACATGTGCTCGTATCTTAATACCCCAGTCCCCTATCACCCGTCTAAAATATAATGTATAAATATATTATAGTATGTAATACTTATTGTAATGGGATTTTTTTATTAATGGCCATAATATTTACAATACCAGATACCTATTTATCATAATATTTTAATATGTGTGATATGTGTCATCCTTATAATACGCTAATGTTATAGTATTTTAGTTAGGTAGGTATAGATTTTTAACTATTAATTGCGAGAACCCACAGGCCACAGTCGACGAATAATGGCTAAAGAGTGGATTTGTTTATGAACTCGAAATCGGAATAATCGTTAATCTATCAATATAATAGTCATAGACGAAAATAGCGTTTGGGATTTGGGGGGGAGGGCTAAAGTGGTACTTTGATAATATTGAATAAGCTTAAAACAACATTTAGGAAATGTTTGGGGGGCTTAGTCCTAATACAAAATATAAATTATCATTGTAAAATTAAAATAAAAACGTTGTTTATTCTTTTTTATTTCTTTGTGCATAACATTTTAATCTGTATAATAAGTCCATAGAATATAGATGGACGTTTTGTGTTATTAGTGTTATTACATTAGTATTTAATACAGTAGGTAGTGGTTAGAAGGGCAAAGGACTGATCTTGTCATATTATTTGTTACCAACTAGGTAGTTGCCTATACTAAATACGCTTGATTCCCTTGCAAATCACAATCATTAATGTATTCTAATAAAAGTATAAAACAATAATTTAAAAAACATAGAATATTATTTAAACCATTTTTGGAAATGTAAGTAGGTAATTAACCATAAAAAAAGAACAAAATCTATTACAATACTACATACTTGGTACCTACTCTTGAATGATTTAAAATTATTCTAAACAGAAACAATTGACAAAAGTAATTAAATTAATTTTTTTTACTTCACAATGGCCAAAAAATTAAAAAATATTTTATTTCAATACACGCGTTGTGGAGTCGAGTTGAACAAAAAAACAGTTTATACCTGTAGTAACTGCAATTGGAAAGCCGCAGTTAATGCAACTAGAATGTATGAACACATATAATAAATGTACTAAATGCCCAAATATGGTCAAAAATACATAAAAGATAAAAATGCACATTTATTATACAGAGTTAAATATTATATATTGATATAGGTATATATTATATATATATTTAATTATTTATATTATGAATTTATTATAATTATGTTCATTAGAATAATACCAGAATAATATTAAAATGGGTAAATGATAATAAAAGTACACATTTTAAAATATTATTATGAAGATTAAATATACTACAACGTCTACAACAATATAATACCAAAAGATTTATTTGATAAAAAATATGATAAATTATAAAATTTTCAAAATTTTTAAGATTGAATTGCATTCAAATTTGAACTCAGACCAATAAGTATGTCGATGACTCGAAAACTGACAAGGTAAAAAATTGCATAGAAATGAGAACGATAAAAAATAAATACTCATTGCATGAAATCGTTAATATTAGTTATTAGCTGCTGAAATAATATTTTAAATTGTAATAAAATATAAATAAAGAAATTAACAATAACTCAAAGGTTCTAGGTGTCAACCCTAATAATATGGAATATTATACAAAATAAATTCATCAAAAAATACGTCAACGGCTATTTTTGCATTGCTCCCAATGCATTTAACACATTGGAGACGAGCACCGTGTTAGACACGGCCACGATTTTAAGATACGTGGGACGCTAGAATTTTTACAATACGTTGGAAACGAATACCGCGTTACGTGACGTAACGCGGTACGTGTGTTTTATGTATACGGACGGACATTTCCCGCCAATTATTTGTTGTGTGGACGGGCTGTTTTCACATGTTTTCTGTATTTTATAGTTGCTATTGAATAATCCGATTAAGTTCTTATTTTTTTCATCGAACTCTCTGAGTGTTGATCTAAAAATAGGTCTAAAAATAAATATGATTATCTAAAACCCGATATCTGTAATATACGGCTTATATTACGACAGTTCCAATAGTCAAAACAAAAAGTTGACAGAGATAAATATTTTATTTTATTTTTATAAATACGAGTATAATACTAGAGCTATAATACTAGCTATAATAATTTTTTTTTATAGTAGGAGCAAAGGACTAAAAACAATAATGGTATAATTCTTTCGTTTTGATAACATTATTTTTCCGCAAACACGCGATGTATGTAATGTTATTACTTTATTAGTAATCATAAAAATAAATAGATGTGTAATACGAATTTATTATTATTCGTATTACACATCTAATTACAAAAAAAAAACAAATAAAACAAGCCAACAACAATTAAAATAAAGAATTTAACGCCCATTACATCGTACGCAATCAATGGTCGATAGGGAAATAATGTCAACAACATAATTATTTATTATAATTTTTGGACTATAATATAATATAATCGAAAAAAAATATCGATACGCAAAAATATTGCCCGTTTTAAACACGGTACATCCTCAACGTTGCGATCTAAAAAAATAGCATCGTCTCCGATACAAAAAAACTATGACCGTGTTAGACACGGCACTCGTCCTCAACGTAACAATGAATTAAAAAATTGTCGTCTCCAATGTGTTTTAACATTAATATTGATATAATATCTAGTACTGAGAAATGAGAACTCGTAACAGTGACTGCCGAGAACCGACCGGCCCGTATTTATTTTTATAAAAATTTACCACGGCATTCATTGTATATTTTGTACCATAATATAAATAAATTGTATAATACTAGATAATTTGTAAACAATTGTGTTTAACCACTATGTCGTTATCAGTATTTATATTTTGTACACAATATTAATTCTGTACATTGTAAATACTATGGTCTAGTGTCTACGTACATAATTTTGATTTTCAAATTTTTTTTTCAATAAATTGCATGTTTTCGCATATTTTCCAAATTTTTCCTGCATATTTTACCGCATATTATGATGTTTTTTAGCTTATATGTATGCGCATATTTGAGTACTTTTTAACGCATAAAGTTCTGAGCCTTGCGAGTTATAATTTACATGGTAATCTGATAACTGATTTGTATATTATATTTATACTTTGTCATTTGTATATTATGAGCGAGTAACGATAATTCGATTTGGGGAAAACACTCTGTAGGGCTGGTATAAATGTATGCTGCACCCGACATATAAATCCTGCGCACGCCTATGTGCATATACACATACATTTATTTTCCAATAGACCACTGATTACAATTTTTATTTTTATTATTTTAAACAGAGCAGTTGTTTAACATTTAAATTACGACTATGGTTTTCATTACCGATTTTCACTTATTACTTATTAGTTTTTTCCGTATTCTTTTAAGTTTTAAATATCGGGTTACGATTATAGATTTTCAATTCCGATTTTGGTTTTGAAAATCATTTTGAAATTATTTTGACTGTCAATTTGGTTTCAAAAATACCGGTTTACATATTTTTCGGTTACGGTTT